GTGGGTTGGATTTGTGAAGGCCTGCCTAGTATGGGCCAACAGGCCTGGAAATGTAAACACATATGCAGTATAACATAATCCTATATTGACAACGTTTCACCTATGCAGTGGGCTTTATCAAGTCACAGACAGATCTACCTGGGTGAAACATACGTGAGTATAGGATGATGAAATGCTGGGTCAGGTGGAGAAAGCTGCATGTGACAATCTTCCAGGTAGAGTGATAGAGTCTAAAAACTTGGGTAGCTTTTAAAAGAGATGTGATAAGTATATGAGTAGACCTTCTTCAGTATTCCTCGATTCTTATGTTCTTATGTGGGATAATGATGAAGTTTCTTGGCAAGAGGTTCAGCTATGTTATAGAAGCCATTGTTCTGGTTGAAGTTCGATGTACAGATAAGTGATGATTCCAGGATTCTTCGGTATTGAGTGTTGTCTTCTTTGGCGATAAGTCTTGCGTTTCTGTAGTTGATTAAATGGTTGTGTGAATTTTGGTGTCGAACACAGGCATTCCTTGGATCGTCAGATCTGCCTGCATACTGGTGTTCTGAAATACGTTTTTGGAGGTCTCTTGATGTTTCGCCAATGTATAATTTGCTGCAGTCATTACAAGGGATTGTATATACCCCTGCAGAGGATTGAAGCTTGTCCTGTCTATTACTGGTAATGTCCTTGATGGTGGTGGATGTGGAGGTAGATACTTGAAATGAGTATCTACATCCAAAACCCCATTCCAAGTATCTACCTCCACATCCACCACCATCAAGGACATTACCAGGACAAGCTTGTCCTGGATTGAAGCTTGTCCTGTCATTAGACAGGACAAGCTTCAATCCTCTGCAGGGGTATACACAATCCCTTGTAATGACTGCAGCAAATTATACGTCGGCAAAACATCCAAAGACCTCCAAACATGTATTTCAGAACACCAGTACGCAGGCAGATCTGACGAACCAGGGAATGCCTGTGTTCAACACCAAAATTCACACAACCATTTAATCAACTACAAAAACGCAAGACTTATCGCCAGAGAAGACAACTCTCAATACCTAGAGTTTACCTGGAGAAAGTTCCAGGGGTCAATGCCCCCATGACCTGGTCTGTGACCAGGCCTCCTGGTGGATCAGAGCCTGATCAACCAGGCTGTTACTGCTGGCTGCACACAATCCAACATGCGAGCCACAGCCCAGCTGGTCAGGTACCGACTTTAGGTGCTTGTCCAGTGCCTGCTTGAAGACAGCCAGGGGTCTATTGGTAATCCCCCTTATGTATGCTGGGAGGCAGTTGAACAGTCTCGGGCCCCTGACACTTATTGTATTGTCTCTTAACATGCTAGTGACACCCCTAACACGTTAAGAGACAATACCGAAGAATCCTGGAATCATCACTTATCTGTACATCCAACAACTTCAACCAGAACAACGGCTTCTGTAACATAGCTGAACCTCTCGCCAAGAAACTACTTCATCGCTATCCCACATAAGAGCATAAGAATCGAGGAACACTGAAGAAGGTCTACTCATATACTTATCACATCTCTTTTAAAAGCTACCCAAGTTCTTAGACTCTATCACTCTACCTGAAAGATTGTCACATGCAGCTTTCTCCACCTGACCCAGCATTCTCATCCTATAAATACTCACATATGTTTCACCCAGGTAGATCTGCTTGTGACTCGAAAAAGCCCACTGCGTGGGTGAAACGTTGTCAATAAAGGATCACATTATACTGCATATGTGTTTATATTTCCATTATGCTGGTATTTTATACCATTTATTGCCAACAAGCTTATTGCAGTGTTCCTCATTTCTTATGTTCTTATGAGTGAGAGGGGTTGGATATGAGTGAGACTTACACATGAGTAAATAGAATTATCAAAGCTTATTGCTTGGATAGCATTGAAAATTGGGTTGGGCAAATATTCTGTTAGTGGGATGGATTGTGAAGGACCTGCCTAGTATGGGCCAACAGGCCTGCTGCAGTGTTCCTCCTTTTTTATGTTCTTATGTTCTTATAACTATACTAGGCAGACTGTTCCACTCATCAACATAAGAAAGGAGGAACACTGCAGTAGGCTTGTTGGCCTATATCCTAGGTTCTCTATGCATATGCTGCTATGTATGATAATCTATGTAACTGTATTTGTGTATGCCTGAATAAACTTACTTACTTGGCAGGTCCTTCACAAATCCAACCTACTAACAGAATAAACGTTACCCAAGCAATAAGCTTTTATAATTCTGAAATTTGAAACACTGCTGGCCCCAAGGGTTTCAGATAAAGGGATGGTGACTGTATTATTCAGAGGGATGAAGAGGGGTTATTGAGGTGGTTTGGTCATTTAGAGAGGATGGAGCAAAATAGAATGATTTGGAGGGTGTACAAATCTGTAGTGGAGGGGAGGAGGGGTAGGGGTTGTCCTAGGAAATGATGGAGGGAGGGGGGTAAAAGAGGTTTTGTGTTCAAGGGGCCTTGACATGCAGCCGGTATGTGTGAGCATGTTAGATAGGAGTGAATGGAGATGAATTGTTTTTGGGAACTGATGAGCTGTTGGAGTGTGAGCAGGGTAGTATTTTATGAAGGGATTCAGGGAAACCTGTTAGCTGAACTTGAGTCCTGGAGGTGGGAAGTACAATGCCTGCACTTTAAAGGAGGGATTTGGGATATTGGCTGTTTGGAATGACATCTAAACTGTCATATCTGGGCACCTCTGCAAAGACACTGGTTATGTATGAATGATGGTGAAATTGTTTCTGTTTTGAGTCGCCTTGCTTCAGTGTGAGATGGCCGGCATGTTAAAAACAAAAATACTCCCTCCATCGAGATTGATGGACTGACCACATCGACTCAAGGCTGAGGGACTGACTACCTCATTCTCCTCCTGTTCTTCACATTTTTCCTTTGTATGGACTGGTGAAGCCACTGTGTGGTGAAACATTTCCTCAATAAAGATACCCAAGAGTTGCAACCATTCATCTACATGGTTAGGATTGCTAAGTCATGCATAGAGCTCATAAGTTACAGCTTGGTGGTTAGCTTAGATTATCACAGCCTTAAAGGTAGCTAGGCAAGTTGTGAAAGGCAGTCAGTTTTGAAGTTATTTCTATATCACCAATACATAGGAATTTTTGCTTAAAGTATTAGCACAAACTTTACAACTTTAATTGGAAGGAGGGACATAGCCAGCCAACACAGGCCCTGTACCAGGCACAGAGTTGGGCTCTCACTTTATTGAAAATCATAGAAGTATGTCACATTTTTGAGATGCAGAGTGTACACAGATTAACCCTTAAAATGTCCAAATGTAGATCTACTTTTGCATGCATAGCACTCTGACCTTGATTTTCTCCGTAAGAAAGCATATATAAAAAAACGTAGATCTATGTTCGGAGTTCTATGTGAGCAAACGTAGATCTATGTTTGGACAGTTTAAGGGTTAATAAAAGACAAACAATATACTTACAATTAATTTTTTTAATTGAAAAATAGAGCAAATTTTGAAATTTATATTGCTAATCTCATCACTTACTATAATAAAGTTTTAGGCTTATACTATATTCAAAAACAAGTTATTTAAAAATAAATAAAGACAAAGGTAGCAATTAGAAACTTTATCAAGATGACTTTTCAAGTGCATAGCAGATTTTAGCAAGTGTAATAGATCATACCTGGCAGTAGCACACTAAGTAGGATGAAGAAAGCAGTCAGGAGTAATTTCTTGTATGTATTTACATCTGATCATGTTTTTCTCTTCTATCTATAAATTGTGCTACCACCAAGTATGATAAGTCAGACTTGATAAAGACTGCTGTACAGGCAAAATGTTTTTTTTTCTTTTGTTTGTTTTTTCATCAAACCGGCCATATCCTACCGAGGCAGGGTGGCCCAAAAAGAAAAACAAAAGTTTCTCTTTTTAAATTTAGTAACATATACAGAAGGTGTTACTAGCCCCTTGCTCCTGGCATTTTAGTCACTTCCTACAACACGCATGGCTTATGGAGGAAGAATTATGTTCCACTTCCCCATGGAGATAAGAGGAAATAAACAAGAACTAGTAAGAAAATAGAAGAAAACCCAGAGGGTTGTGTATGTATATGCCTGTACATGCATGTGTAGTGTGACTTAAGTGTAAATAGAAGTAGCAAGACATACCTGAAATCTTGCATGTTTATAAGGCAGAAGAAAGATGCCAGCAATCCTCCTTCTTCTTTCAATAAACCGGCCATATCCCACCGAAGCAGGGTGGCCCAAAAAAGAAAAACGAAAAGTTCTCTTTTCAACTTTAGTAATGTATACAGGAGAAGGGGTTACTAGCCCCTTGCTCCCGGCATTTTAGTCACCTCCTACGACATGCATGGCTTACAGAGGAAGAATTCTGTTCCACTTCCCCATGGAGATAAGAGGAAATAAACAAGAACAAGAACTAGTAAGAAAATAAAAGAAAACCCAGAGGGATGTGTATATATACACTTGTACATGCATGTGTAGTGTGACCTAAGTGTAAGTAGAAGTAACAAGATGCACCTGAAATCTTGCATGTTTATGAGACAGAAAAAAGACACCAGCAATCCTACCATCATGTAAAACAATTACACTCACTTGGCAGGACAGTAGTACCTCCCTGGGTGGTTGCTGTCTACCAACTCACTACCTAGGTGCTTAGGACATGTTTAGTACAGATTTTTCTGTCCTGGGACCTTGGTCACATTTTGAGTGACCAATGTCCCAGGACTGAGATGTTTGCATTAAATATGTCCTTAGTGACTGCATTTTTTCTTCGTTCATCTTGTGCTCAATACTGGAGATCACCAGAGCTAATAGTAGTGCTCTTTGTCATTTTTTGAAGGCAGGCTCTGTAAACAGTTATTCCTGGTCTCTAGATTGCCACATTACTCTATAAGAGATTTATCAGCTACATTTTATAGTTTAATTTTGTGTGTATTATTGGTAAAAAGCATTTTAAAATAATGAAAACTTGACTTAACCTTTGTACTATATAGGTAGAATACCTGGGATTGAAGGAAAACATTAGAGTGAAAAGAGCTGGTTTTGCATATCGACGGCCATTCCAAAAATTTCTGCAAAGATATGCAATCATAACGAAGGAGACCTGGCCTTCATGGTCTGGTAATCCTACACAAGGTATACACATCATCATGAAGAGTGTCAACATGGACCCCAGCCAATATCAGATTGGCAGGAGTAAAGTATTTATCAAGGTACAGTACCTTTATTGAAGTTTGTTTTTATTACATGTTTGCAATTTGGTCTAAATCTTAAACATTAATCCTGTATTAATACAATTTAATACTCAAGCCTTAGGAATTTAATTTATGTTTGGAGATTTAATATTTTTATATATGAATTGCAAATGAATTGTTTTTATTAAATTTGTTAATATTGCACTCATGCTCACTAGTATGCAGCACCAAATGTTGAGAGTCAGTCAATGCTGAAAATGAATTCATCCATATGTACAACTGCATTACATGTTCAGTATGATCTCTGCTTAGTTACTACTTTCATCAAGTACAGTATATTAAATTCAGTAAATCTTGATAATTAAAAACTTATAAGTAACTTAACAGGTTTGAATGAAATAAACTTTTTTTAGAAAGAATGAAGTAGAACACTACAATACAGTATATGGAGTTAATAGCAATGCCATATGTGAGGGTTCACATGACCCCTTGTACATATTAGTCCTAAGACCCAACCACTAGTACTGTTGCCACCACTGCTATTGAAATAAAATGCAATACAAAAGCATACAGTGCTTTAATTACAAGGCAGTTGAGTAGGTAAACTGCCATATTCATTCTTTGTCCTTATGACCCATCTCTACTGTCTCTGGCTGGTAAGCAGCCCTTCCTGTCAGTAGTGACCCACCAGCATGACGAGCACTTCCTGCTCATGTTCCCAGATAAAAAAAAAATAAATATTTTCTTTGTAAAGGTTACAATGTGTATTTACAATTTTGGTTTGCTCAGTACAAAGAAAGCCACTATCATGCCAGGGCATTTTGGGCAGACTAATCCTAGTACATAATAACTACTTAAACCTAGACAAGATAAGTGGTTAACTTTTATTAAAATCTTTATTTAATCTTGACCCTTTGACTGTTTTCGACGTATAAATACGTCTTACGAGCCAGTGTTTCTGATGTATATATACTCAATAATTCTAGCGGCTTCAAATCAAGCGGGAGAAAGCTGGTAGGCCCACATGTGAGAGAATGGGTCTGTGTGATCAGTGTGCACCACATAAAGAAAATCCTGTAGCACACATTGCGTAATGAGAAAAAAAAAACTGATCGTTTTTTTGGAATAAAACGCCGACTTTGAGGTGTATTTTCGTATAGTATTTATCGTTGTATTCGCGTTTTCATGGTCTTAGGTGATAAAATGGAAAACATATTACAGAAATAGAGATGATTTTCATTACTTTGACGATGAAAACGACCTTGAAACTGAGCTCAAAGTAGCAGAAATGTTCGATTTTTACCAATGTTCAGAAGTAAACAAATCACACCACACGTCCAATACACGTCACCTGGGGAGTCTAATATTCTTTCACTAGTGCACTGATATTATTTATACCATTTTTACAATAATGCAGTAGTCTGCATAACAGTAAATTTTGTATTTTTTTGTATGAATAAAAAATCAAAATAGAAAGCAATAATAATATAAGAGGGGCCTAGAGATGTGACTAATGAACAGAGGATATGCTATTTTAGTGCCAAGAATGTCTACCTTGTTTATTCTGGACTCTATTTTGAAATTGGCATCTTTTTTAATTTGCATGAAATTTGCATGACCACTATACTGGGTAGTTCAAATTGGTAAATGGGCAGTTTCTTGTACTCAGCTGATAGATAAAATGGAGTTCTAAAGAAATAGCTATGAGTTTGGTCAACTGGAACAACGAAATTGGCTGAAAACAGGGCTCAAAGTCGGCGAAATCGCCAACACATATGTCGCCGATTCCGCTAATTCGCGGGAGCGAAATTTCGAACTTTGGGTGTCTTTACCTCGGGAATTGTCTCTATCTTTTCATAAAAAAAAAATAATTTTTTTTTTTTTGAATTTTTGGCGACAAAAAAATGACATTTTTCAAAAGGGGGCCCCTGAAACAGCCCAAGGGGGTTTACAATGAAAGGTAGCCCAAGGGGGAGACATATAAACTTATTTTGCATTAATAAAAACAATTTTAAATTTAAGGGTTTCAACAGTAATATTTCATGATTGGCAGTTTTGTTTAACCCTTTGACTGTTTCCGACGTAAAAAACCTTCAGCCAATTTTTTTCTGACGTATTTAACGCAAAAATTTTCTAGCAGCTTCAAAACAAGCAGGAAAAAGCTGCTAGGCCCACAGTGAGAGAAGGGGTCTCCAGGTCAGGGTGCCCCAAAAAAAAAAATCGGGGACCCATGGGCTTTGGGGGAATGCCATTTCAGTTGTCATTTTTCAGCATGTCTATGGTAAAAAAATATGTGTTTTCCCCAGCAAACTGGACTCTTCTTTTCCCCCAAGTATGCTCTAACCAGATGGAAGTGCAGGAAGATCAATTTCATGATTTGGAGAGTTTGAGACCAAAAGAAATGGAGGGGGAGGGGGGGAGGAGGGAGGAAGAAGGAGGAGGAGGAGGGAAAAAAAGAGGAGGGGAGGGGGAGAAAGAGGAGGGGGGAGGAAGAAGAAGATGTAAAATTTGTTCCCTTGAACAAGAAAAAAAAAATCCACCCCAGACAGGACAAGTTTAAGGGGGATAACAACTGATAAACTGACTTTGAGACGTAAAGGGAGGGTAAATTACATGACCATCCCTCCCTTTGTTTTTGGGTACAAAAAACATTCTGTCTGTCTATTTGTCTGTCTGTCAAGCCCCTTCTGTCCACTAGCTCTCTGTCTCAGAGAGAGCCACAAGACGTTTCACACGTTTACTCACATCTTAAAAGCAGAGAAAAGCACTTTGCGGGTTTTTCTTGGGTTATCCTGGGTAATTTACACTATGATACTTGTTTTTATGTTACCCCTTTGGGCAAGATAGGCAACAGAAAGAGAACAGATTGAAAAAAAAGAATAGGGAGAAAGATAATTTGATAGAATGGAGGGGGGAAGCAGCATCCGACCCCATTTTTTTGACAGGGGGAGGGTATGACTAAGAATAATATTTCCCTTTTACAGCTGCCCACTTTTGACCAAAACAAATTTTAAAACCACACACCCCACACAAGGAGGAGGAGGAGAAGAGGAGAAGGGGGAGGGGAAAAAAAGGAAAGAAGGGGGAGAAGAAGGAGAGAAGAAGGGGGAGAAGGAGGGGGAGAAAGGAAGAAGGGAGGAGAAAAGGGGAAAAAGGAGAAGAAAAGAAGGGGAAAAAAAGAAAAGAAGAAGGAAAGAAAAAAAGGAGAAAAGAAAGAAGAAAAGGAAAAGAAAAGGAGAAGAAGAAAAAGAAAAAGGAGAAAAGAAGAGAAAAGAAGGAGAAAAAAGGGGAAAAAAGAAGGAGAAGAAGAAGAAGAAGAAGAAGAAGAAGAAGAAGAGAAGAAGAAGAAGAAGAAGAAGAAGAAGGAGAGAAAAGGGGAAGGGGAAGAAGAAGGAGAAAAGAAGGAGAAGGAGAAGAGAAAGAAAAGAAGGGGAAGAAGAAGGAGAAAAAAGGAGAAGAAAAAAGGAGAAAAAAGAAAAAGAAGAAAAGGAAAAAAAGGAGAGAAAAGAAGAGAAAAAAGGAGAAGAAGAAGGGGAAGAAGAAGAAGGAAAAAGAAGGAGAAGAAGAAAAAAAGGAGAAAAAGAAGAAGAAAAGAAAAGAAAAGAAGAAGAAAAGAAGAAGAAGAAGAAGAAGAAGAATTGTTTTTTTGGGTTTTTTTTTTGTTAAAAAAGTTTGTAAACAAATTTGATAATTATGTTTTTGGGGCTTATTTTTGATACAACGAGTGTATTATAACATTCACCTTACTTTGGTCCATAGGCCAAATAAGTTATGTGAAAAAATAAAAAAGGAAAAAAACAACAAACCCTTTAAAAACAATAAACTAAAGTTTACCGGGTTTACGGCGTCGCCGCTGTTGCCATACCGGCCATTTTTTCTGCAAACTTCACGGCTCTATACTCGTAATACCAATGGCAAAAATTTTTTTTTTGGCAAAAAACTCAGAAAAAAAAACTTAACATTTTTAAAGAAAAAATAATTTTTTTTTTTTTTTTAAAATTTGGCGCATAGAATGACAGTTTTTAAGAGGGGGCCGAAACATCAAAGGGGTTTAAACCCTTTTTTTAGGGTTGACAGGCCCCTCTCCCGAAAATTTTTCTCAGGGTTGCCAAAATTTCAAAAAAAATAAAAAATTATTTTTTCTTATGAAAAGATAGTTTTTTTTTTTTAATCTTATAGGCTAAACAAAAAATTTTCACCATCAATACTTACCGAGATATGGAGGCGTGAATTGACAGAAAATGACTGGCATGTGGTAACATCGCTGACTGCCGGTCACCCGGTTTTAGTTTATTTAGTTTTTGGTATTATTTTCTATTATTTTTTTTTTTTTTTTTTTTTCAAGTAACTTTTATGGCCTGTGAGACCAATATGAGCACTATTTTGTAAGTTTTTTCTCTTTATTTACTACACAATAACTGCACAAACACTGTTGTCCTTATATTGTTTATAATTGTTGTTTACACACACAAACTATATGAAATGTTGTTTATTACTATTTTTCTATATTTTATATACACATATACAGTCACAGGGAATGTTTCTAGAAGTTCTACAGCCTGTGGAAGTCTTTGAAACATGGTGTAATGCACAGTGGTGTTTTACACTCCTCACACATAAAACGAGTGTCTCTTCATTGTTGTGGGCGTTTTTTTTGTATGTGCACAGACCTAAAACCTCTTCTGAGCCTTTTCTTGAAAGCATAGCAGGCAGTTTTATTAGGAAGTGATCACCATGCTTCAGACGAGAAGGTAGTTGTTGAAAATTTAGTGGGCGGTTTTCTATTGCAGGTGTTGTTCCTTGGTACTTGAATACTATTTGTCTGATGACAGACAAACAGAATTCGCCATATGGTGGTTTGTTTCTGGTCCTCATCTTATACATATTATAAGCATTGAGCATGGAAATGTCCAGAAGATGGAAAAAGAGTTTTATGTACCACTTATAACTCTTGCAAACACAATCACAAACCCAAACTGCATGTCACATTTGTCCACTGAGCACATATTGAGGGTGTAATCAATCACAGCTGTGGTTTTAGAATGGGTTCATTGCTGTCTCTATGCTGCCTGCCAGTGTTGGTCATTTCATTAGGGTGAACTGATGACAACAGTGTGACATCTTGTTTGTCATGCCACCGAAATGCCATGATGTCATTGGCAGCAAATGCCTGCAACTCACCTCTACGAGTGCCAGCGTCAAACCTGGGCATATGTTTACGATTTGCACGCACTGTGCCACACACACATCTGTCATGTTCACTTGCAAAAAATCACTGAGTGAAGGGCTTGTGTACCAGTTATTAGTATATAATATATGCCCCTTACCAAGGTATGGTTCTATCATTGTTCTAACCACATCACCAGAGATGCCCAATAACTTCCTGGTATTTTACAATGTATAACTTCCAGTGTACACAATAATATCCAATACAAGACCACTGTAGCACTCACAAAGCACAAACAACTTTATACAAAAGCGTTTCCTCATGCTTGGTATGTACTGCTTGAAAGAGAGTCTTCGTTTGAACAGAATCAAAGATTCGTTAATTACAAGCTTCCTGAAGGGATAAAAATACATATTGAATTTCTCTTTCAGATATACAAACACATTCCTAATCTTATATAACCTGTCGTTTCTGTTACGCCTGGTTTTGTGTGACAAGTGAAGCATACGTAATAGTAGCACAAATCGATTCACTCCCATTATATCACTGAAACCTGGGGTTGCAATCAGGTGGTCTGTTGACCAGTATGATTTCACACTGTGCTTATACACATGTGGCATAAGCATTATTGTGGCAAAGAAAAGATACATCTCAGCCACAGTTGTCTCCTTCCACTTGTGTAGACATGATTTTGGTGAAAGTATTGTGTTTGCCATGGTGTACTCGTAGTATCTGTTGCTTTCCCTGACAATAATTTCCATCAGGGGTTCGTCAAAGAATAACTCAAAACATTCCAGTTCAGTGGCATTGTTTCCCAGTGTACAATATGGCCATATTCCACTTTGGCTTTCATCAAACTGGTGGGGATTTGGAACAAAATTGGCAGCTTCCTGCCAATCCCAGGTGCGTTCTGCTGGTGGGTACTGGACATTGACAGGTGGTTGTGGTTGTGGAGTTTATGGTTGTAGAGGTTGTGGTTGTGGAGGCTGGTGTGGTGGGTGGGTGGGGGATGGTGGCTTTTGTTGTAGATCAGCTGAGGCAGCGGTGTGGGTGGCAGCGTGGGTGGTAGTATGGCCCACTGCTGGTGCCTAACGGCCGGCACCACCAGTACCACCACCATGCACATTTTCCATCCCAATTGCAACACTATCATCTTCATTTTCTCTGTCTGTTCCTGTTGTACAGCCACGGGATGTACTCCTTCCCTTTGGAATAGCATATGGCACACTACCAGAGCGCATATATCGTCGTATATACTGACACTTCACTGGAGAATATTCCACTTCACTATCACAACTGGAACTGTTTTCAAGAGCTTGTAGTTCATATTCACTATCACTATCATCACCAATGCTCACATCTGAGTCCGGGATTTGGAAAAATAGGAGGTTTCCTCTTTGATTCTCGTATAACTGAACGTGAACAAGACGGCCCAGCAGCAGAGGTAGAACGCTGAGGGTTGTCTGGGTTTTCTTCACTATTACCGGTATTATGGTCATTAGTTTCGGTCACAGTTTCATCAAAACCTTGAAACTCATCTTCACTGGCACTTCCATCTCTATTAGAACTGTCACTGGGGAACAAAAGTGTCCCAATTCGCCGAGGAGTGAGGAGCTTCTTACCGCAAGGCATGGTGAACAAGGTCTACTAAAATGGCGTTCCCACAATGCGCCACTGGGTCCCAGATTTTTTTGTACCGTGCACACCGACTACACACACCCATTCTCTCACATCTAGGCCTACCAACCTTTTCCCGTGAGATTTGAAGGTGCTAGAATTTATGCGTACAAGTACTACATCAAAAAACCTGGCGCGTAAGCTGTACTAGTACGTCGGAAACCATGAAAGGGTTAAGAATCATCCTCACGAATGTTTTACACAAGCAGTTAGTAAGAGATATTGGGCGAAATGCATTTTGTTGATTGGGCTTTGGACTTGGAATGATGAGGCTGTTGGTCCAAGATTGAGGGAGCTCCCCAGTTACATAGCTCATATTATATAATTCAAGTAATGCATTACCTGGTACTCGACCCAGCAATCTGAGTACAGTGGACCCCCGCCTTACGATATTAATCTGTTCCTGAGAACTCATCGTGAGCCAAAATTATCGTAAGGCGAATTAATTTTCCCCATAAGAAATAATGGAAATCAAATTAATCCGTGCAAGACACCCAAAAGTCTGAAAAAAAAAATTTTACTACATGAAATATTAATTTTAATACACACAAACTTAAGAAGACATGCACAATTAATACTCTACTAAGAATAGAATACATGACACTTACCTTTATTGAAGATCTGGTGGTGATTGATGGGATGGGAGGAAGGGAGTGTGCGGAAGTTGTTATTGTTTAGAAGGGGAATCCCCTTCCATTAGGACTTGAGGTATCAAGTCCTTTTCCGGGGTTACTTCCCTTTTTTTAATGCCACTAGGACCAGCTTGAGAGTCACTGGACCTCTGTCGCATAACAAATCTATCCTTAGAGCTCTGTACCTCCCGTTCCTTTAAGATTTACCTAAAATGGGCCACAACATTGTCATTGTAATAGTCACTAGCACGGCTTGCAATAGCTGTGTTAGGGTGATTTTCATCCATAAAGGTTTGCACCTCAACCCACTTTGCACACATTTCCTTAATCTTTGAAGTAGGCACAATGGATTCCACAACTGGCATAGGCTTCTCAGGGTTAGCCCCAAACCCTTCAAAATCTTTCTTAATTTCCATAGTAATTCTCACCCTTTTTACCACAGGGTTGGCACTAGAAGCTTTCTTGGGGCCCATGGTGACTTACTTTGCAGTTACAAGCACAAAAAACACTGGGATAAGGTGAAATGTACCAAATGTATGCGTGGATTCGACCGCACTGGCTGGCTTGTAAACACTGGCGCTGAGGCCACATGTGGGAAGCGTCCCGGACAAATCGCGTGAGACGAGTTTTTTAGCGTGAGGCAAGGCAAAATGTATCGTATGGCAAATTTAACGTAACGCGATGCCATCGTAAGGTGGGGGTCCACTGTATGTTGTAAGTAATACCATCCTCACCAGGCGACATGGAGTTGCCCTTAGTGCTGCATCAATTCATAATTAGTAAAAGGAATGTTGCAGTCATCTTCCTTGCTGAGCATGAAGCAAACAATTCTCTCCCTTGCATCATATTTGTCATTTAAATTTGCCTGTGTGGTACTGGGAAGATTGTCATAGCTAGATGTAGCAGCCCAAGCACTGACTAACTCATTCGCCCTATGTAAGGGATGAGGGTGCACGATCTGCCCAATTTTGCTACCTTTAATTCTATTTATGTCCCTCCATGCCCAGCTAAGTGGGGTGTGAGCATTGAGACTATTGACAAATTTAAAAAGAGTAAGGAAATAGTAAATGTATATGAACAGTGTACCTGGAAGTGGATGTATCAGCAGGTGAAGAATGAGCCAAACCACATAATAGGAAATGGAAAGGAAGTTGCAGGTGTTGAATAATCCATAGAAAGAAATTTGTTTATGGAATTAAAAGGGGAAGAGTATCAAAATATAGTGAAGCCAGTTTTTTGTAGTATGATGCATGGTCTTTGAATGTTACTATGAGGGGGAGGCTGGAAACTTGGAAAAGTCATTCATAGTTGCAGATTGCTGGGTCCTATATATATATATTATATTTTTTTTTTTTTTTATCTAAATATTATAGAAACCACTTTGAAAATGCAATTTCATTTTCCATCCAAAAATATTTCATTGATTAATTTTTTTAATTCATTGGTTGGTGACCTTAACTCTTGTGTAAAGGTCATGAGTTAAGGGTCTTGTCAGAACACCTTCACATCACATTAAATTATTTTACTAATCATTAACTTATTTTTTTTTTTTGTTTTTTTTTTACCTTTTAGGATCCAGAGTCTCTATATATGCTTGAAGAGTGCAGAGAGCGCAAGTATGACTATTATGCTCGAGTCATCCAGCATGCATTTCAGAAATACTTCAGGTTAGTTGACTTTCACACTGCATGGACATCATTCATTTGGAACCTTGCAAGTGTGGGATTACCTGTTGAATTTACAGTATTTATTAGTACTTACATGTGTGGCATATATATGCTCATGGTATCCCATTTTCATCTCCATGGGGAAGTGGAACAGAATTCTTCCTCCATAAGCCATGCGTGTTGTAAGAGGCGACTAAAATGCCAGTAGCAAGGGGCTAGTAACCCTTTCTCCTCTATATATTACTGAATGTAAAAGGAGAAACTTTTGTTTTTTTCTTTTGGGTCACCCCGCCTCTGTGGGATATAGCAATGTATTGAAAGAACGAGGAAGATCCCATTTTCAGTATTTATTATGTTATGTACTGTATATGTTAAAGGTACCTTCTATTGGATCCTTTTGCAGCAGTCTTCCATTGTATTTGTTAAGAAATATTTTATAGTGTTCTTTAGCAACTGCCTTTTTCATGATTTTGCAAGTGAGGTCTCCTGCTCTTCCTGATGAAGTTAGCAAGAAGTCCTTCTTGTCTGCTGTACTACATAGTTTTGTGACCATGTTTGTTCTTTCATATATATTTTTTCCCATTGTGCCTACCAGTGATGCCATTTTCTATTTTTATTTGAGCTCTTAAAAACTGAGTACACTAAATTTAAGCTGCATTTTCTAATCTTGATCTTGCTCTAATTTTTTCACCCTCCATATATTAAAAACTATTTTCAGACTTGCTAGTATAGTGTACAATATTCTCACTACTACCATTGCATTACTCTTCAACAAATCACTAGAAACCAACACTTTCCCGGCATCACTCAGAATAGTAAGGATTACACCAATACACAAAGGTGATGACCCAACAGATGTAAACAACTTAGGCCATTATCAAACTTTGAGAAGCTCGTACACAAAAGGTTATACTCCTTCATTACATCACAAAGCATCCTTAACCCCTGCCAGATTTGGCTTCAGGAGAAACAAAAGCACAAATGATGCAATAATAAAAATGTTAGACCTAATATAGACAGCACTTGAAAAAAAGAATACCCACTTGGACTCTTTATCAACCTTAAGAAAGCTTTTGATACAGTAGACCACAGCATCCTACTTCTCAGGCTTGATCATTATGGTATAAGAGGCCATATACCTGCATATATCAAGTCTTACCTTATTAATAGAAAGAAGTATTTCTCTATCAAGGACACAACCTCCTCAACAAGATCCTTGGACACAGAGAAGCATTCTTGGCCCCCCTTCTTTTCCTTTTATACATCAACGATCTTCCAAGTGTATCACAACAACTTACTCCTATTCTTTTTGTTGACAACACAACTTTTGTCATCTCCCATCCTAATCTAGCCTCACTCAACACTATTGTTAATGAAGAGCTCACAAAAATAGCAACCTGGATGACTGTAAACTTACACTTAATATAGAAAAAAACTTCTACATTATGTTTGGGAGTAGAGCAAGTGAGGTCCAATTAAACATTATGCTTATCAACATCCTTCTTGCTAAACAGAATGAGGGAAAATTCCTGGGTCTGCACCTTGACAGCAATCTGAAATTCAACATCCATATCCAACACATAACAAAAAAAGTATCTAAAACAGTTGGCATCCTTTCAAAGACACAGTACTATGTACCACAAACAGCATTACTTACCCTATACTGTTCATTAACCCTTTGAGGGTTTTGGCCGTACTAGTAAGGCTTACGACCCAGGGTTTTTGACGTACTAGTATGCCTAAATTCTACCGCCCTCAAATCTGGTGAGAGAAAGCTGGTAGGCCTACATATGAAAGAATGGGTCTATGTGGTCAGTGTGTGCAGTATAAAAAAATCCTGCAGCACACAGTGCGTAATGAGAAAAAAAGAACTTTGACCGTGTTTCGGGAATAAAACAGCGACTTTGCACTGTATTTTTGTATGGTATTTATTGTTGTATTCTATTTTTCTTGGTCTCATTTTATAGAATGGAAGACATATTACAAAAATTGAGATGATTTTGACTGGTTTTACAATGAAAAGTACCTTGAAATTGAGCGCAAAGTAGCAGAAATGTTCGATTTTTATCTAAGTTCAAAAGTAAACAAATCATGCCAAGTGTCCAATACACGTCAAGTGGTGAGTCTAATATTCTTTCACAAGTATGCTGATATTATTTATACCATTTCTACACTAATGCAGTAATCTGCATAACAGTAAATCTTTTATTTTTTGTAATAATAAAAATTCAAAGTGGAAAGCCAAAGAAATATAAGAGGGGCCTGGGGATGTGACTAACGAACAGAGAACTTGTTATTTTAGTGCCAGGAATGTCTTTCTTGTTTATTCTGGACCCTGTTCGGAAATTGGCATCTTTGGAAATTTGTGTGAAATTGGCAAAATTGCTAAATTTTGGATAGTTGAAATTGGTAAATGGGTGGTTTCTTGTACTCATTCGATAAAAAGAAATGGAGTTCTAGCAAAATAGTTATGATTTTTGTCGACTAGTACATTGGAATTGGCCAAAAATAGGGCTCAAAGTGGGCAAAATCGCCAATGCGTAAACATTGTCGAGACCGCTAACTTCGCGAGAGCATAATTCCGTAAGTTTTCCATCAAAATTCGTACTTTTGGTGTCATTATGATCGGGAAAAGATTCATCTTTTCATAAGAAAAAATAATTTTTTTTTTTAAATTTGGCTGACCCTGAGAACAAGTTTCGGAGAGGGTCTGTGACCCTCAAAGGGTTAATCTACCCTACCTCACTTATGCTATTTATACCTGGGGTTCCACAATGACAAATCACCTAAAGCCAGTAATAACCCATCAAAAAGCTGCAGTGCAAATAAAAACACATTCCACTGCTAGACAACACCCTTACCCCTTATTCTTCAAAGACCTAAACCTACTCACTATACAAAATATTCACTCATACTACTGTGCAACCTACATTTACAGAACAATTAATTCTAATATAAATCCTGACCTGAAGTGCTTTCTTGACAGTTGCAGTACTACCCAAAGACATAATACCAGGCACAAAAAATCTGTGACATTCCCCATGTCAGGCTAAACCTTTAAAAAAAACTCAATGTACATAAAGGGGCCCAAAATCTGGAACTCTGCCAGAAATCTCCAGAACCACTGACTCAGCTAGCATTTTTAAAACTGCAGTTAAAAAATGCTTTATATCCTTAACCTATCCTAATCCATTATAAATCTTCTTTCTTTCAACAAACTGTCCATTTTCCACCAAGGCACGGTGGCCCAAAAAGAAAAACAAAAGTTTCTCTTTTTAAATTTAGTAATGTATACAAGAGAAAGGGTTACAAGCCCCTTACTCTCGGCATTTGAGTCGCCTCTTATGATACGCATGGCTTTTGGAGGTAGAATTCTGTTCCACCTCCTCATGGAGATTAGAGAGAATAAATAAAGAGAACCAGTAAAAAAAGAAGAAAACCCAAAGGGGTGTGTGTGTGTGTGTGTGTATATATATATATATATATATATATATATACATAATATATATATATAAAATATATATATATATATATATATATATATAATATATTATATATATATATATATATATATATATATATACATGTATATATATATATATTATATATATATATATCTTTCTTTCTTTCTTTCAACACACCGGCCATATCCCACCGAGGCAGGGTGGCCCAAAAGGAAAAACGAAAGTTTCTCCTTTTACATTTAGTAATATATACAGGAGAAGGGGTTACTAGCCCCTTGCCCCTGGCATTTTAGTTGCCTCTTACAACACGCATGGCTTACGGAGGAAGAATTCTGTTCCACTTCCCCATGGAGATAAGAGGAAATAAACAAGAACAAGAACTAGAAAGAAAATGGCAGAAAACCCAGAAGGGTGTGTATATATATGCTTGTACATGTGTGTATAGTGTTTACCTGGAGTTTACCTGGAGAGAGTTCCGGGGGTCAACGCCCCAGCGGCCCGGTCTGTGACCAGGCCTCCTAAGTGTAAGTAGAAGTAGCAAGACGTACCTGTAATCTTGCATATTTATGAGACAGACAAAAGACACCAGCAATCCTACCATCATGTTCAACAATTACAGGCTTTCGTTTCACACTCACTTGGCAGGACGGTAGTACCCCCCTGGATGGTTGCTGTCTACCAACCTACTACCTAATATATATCTTTCTTTCAACACAATGGCCGTATCCCACCGAGGCGGGGTGGCCCAAAAGGAAAAACGAAAGTTTCTCCTTTTACATTTAGTAATATATACAGGAGAAGGGGTTACTAGCCCCTTGCTCCTGGCATTTTAGTTGCCTCTTACAACATGCATGGCTTACGGAGGAAGAATTCTGTTCCACTTCCCCATGGAAGTATATATATATATATATACAGTGGACCCTCGACCAACGATATTAATCCGTTCCTGAGAGCTCATCCTTAATTGAAATTATCGTTAGTCGAGTTAATTTTCCCCATAAGAAATAATGGAAATCAAATTAATCCATGCAAGACACCCAAAAGTATTGAAAAAAAAAAATTTTACCACATGAAATATTAATTTTAATACACACAAACTGAAGAAGACATGTACAATTACATGACACTTAGCTTTATTGAAGATCTGGTGATGAGTGATGGGATGGGAGGAGAGGAGACTGTGGATGGTGTTAGTGTTTAGAAGGGGAATGCCCTTCCATTAGGACTTGAGGTGTCAAGTCCTTTTCCGGGGTTACTTCCTTTCTTCTTTTAATGCCACTAGGACCAGCTTGAGAGTCACTGGACCTCTGTTGCACAACATATCTTTCCATAGAGGCCTGTACCTCCTGTTCCTTTATGGCATTCCTAAAGTGTTTCACAACATTCTCAGTGTCACAATTAAACGCTTGTTCAGGTTTCAATTCTTAACTGTCTATGTACTCCTTGAATTCCTTCACATATTTTTCAGCTGCTTTTTGGTCCAAACTGGCAGCCTCACCATGCCTTATCACACTATGTATGCCACTACAATTCTTA